GATAGCAACATCAGAATTTTATCATTCCAACTGCTTATCTTTTAAGTTTATTTACAATAGCATTTTCTATCATACTTTGTGAAAAGGTTCACAGCATGAGCCATTAAAAAAAAAAAATCTTAGGGCCGGGGAGATGGCTCAGTGGAATAAGTGCTTCCCTGGCAAGCGCAAGGGCTTGAGTTCAATCCCCGGTTCCGCCAGAAAAATTAAAAAAAAAAAATCTTTTCAAATTTTTTTGAGACAAGGTCTTGCTTTGTGGCTCAGGTTAGCCTGAACTCACTATGTTGCCCAGGTTTGTAGCCTCAAACCTGCAGGGATCCTCCTGCCTCAGTCACTCAGGTGCTGGGGATATAAGTATGCATCACCACATCAGGCTCTAAAACCATTCTTATTAAGTTGCTTATGTTATATTGCATATAAATATTGTTCATAAATTGTTTAACTCAATGTTTCCTGCATTGTTTGAACAGAGAATTCCTCAAATGCACATTTAAAAAGCTTGTGGGTCAAAATTAGGTAAAGATTTTCTGTGCAAAAGGATATTCTGGAATGGTTTTAAAATGTGAAATTAAAGGAAGAGATTATCCCAGTTGATAGTTTTGCCCAAAACAGTTTTGCCAGGGCCTGAGAGTTCACTTAGCAGTTAATGATGAACCTACCTGAATATCCAATGATACTCCCCAGCCAAGACAAAAGCTTCAAACCAAAATTCTGGTGTGCAACAAGAGATGAATGCATAACTTGAACTTTGAGTGGCTTCGTCTGTCTACTGGTATTTCTCTTAAAAAGAAATGACAAGATGAAAAAAATAACTTAAAAAGGACTGGCATAAAAAGTTACACCATAGGGCCAGCCAGATAGCTCAGCAGACTAAAGTGCCTGCTTAGTTAGAGCACAGTGGCCAGGGTTCAGTCCCTGGTGTGTCATGCTGGCCCTGCCCCTGGGTTGTGCTGAGATAGTGACTGAGACTGGGCATGGTGGCACATGCCTGGAACCCCAGTGCTTGAGAGGCTGAAAACAGGAGAATCACTCGCGTGCGATCTATGTAGTGTGACCCTATACAACGTGCCCTAAGTAAAAAAAAAAAAAAAAAAAGTTACACTATATAAAAAGTTAACATACCATCACTGGAATTTTTGTGTATGTAAGAAAAACACTACTTTGTCTTACTTGACTGAGGTTCTAATTTTCTAGGCAGAGTCACAGGATTTATACAAAAGGTTAACATCCCAACCCCTTAATTTTATTTTGACCCAGGGTCTTAGTAAGTTACTGAGTAGCCCAGGCTAGGGGTGAACTGTGTTCTTAATCCTCAGACTATCAGGGTGCTACAGGAATACACCACCATGCTTGGTTTTATATGTTTAAAGACTTCCACATCAATATAGATGAGGTTAGTAGTGTTTAAAACATGAAATAAAAGGGGCCTGCCCCTTAGCTCAGTTCTTTAAGTGGCTGCTTCAACAAAGCAGTCAGGCTCCAGTTGCTGTGGTTCGATCCCCACAACTCAAGCCAGCCAAGCCTGCCCTGAAGGCATTCTGAGCCTACCAAAAAAAACCCAAAAACCAAAACAAAACAAACAAACAAAAAAAAAAACCCAAAACAAAACAAAAAAAAAAACAAGAAATACAAAAGCAAGCATGGGAGTGAAAAACTGAATTAATGAAAGTAGTCATTTCTAAGGAAGAATAACAGTAGTAAAACAAAAACAAAAACAACAAAACAGAGGATTCTTCTATATTATTTTAATGAAAATAAATAGGAAGAAAATAAGAAACAATGTAGGCCCATGGATGTTCATGTTATTTTTGTCTGTATATTTAAAGTTATTTTATAATATGTAAAACTTTTCTAAAAAAATTATATAAATTACAACTTATATGGAACAATTAAAATACTTTAAAAATAAATCTAAAAGTGGAAAATAGCTTTCTTTTAGAAAAATAATACACTGGGCCTGCCAGATAGCTCAGCAGATTAAAGTCCCTGCTTAGGGAGATGTAGGGCCCAGGTTTCCATCCCTGGCATGCTGCGCCCATGCTGCCCTGGCCCCTTGTCCCCAAGGCACACTGAAGCCCATGAATGAGATTGGGTGAGGTGGCATGCCCCTGAAATCCCAGCACTTGGGAAGCTGAAAACAGGAGGATTGTTAGGAGACTGATCTGTGTAGTGTGACTCTGTAGGCCCTATACTAAATACGTTAAAAAAAAAAAAAAGAAAAATAATACACTAAATACTAGTAGACAAAACAAAGCAAGCAAATAAAAATGTTATTAGAAGAGAATATACCTTGGTATAATGTACCAAGAACCTTCCCTGAACTCTAATCTTGGTTCTACAGGCCCATATAATTACTAAAAGATAGAGTAAAAACTTCATTAAAAACAAAACACAAAGTTTTTTAGAGACTTCTTTTGATAAAGAAATAGAATGACAGGGGCTGGAGAGATGGCTCAGTGGTCTAAAGCACCTACTTAGAACAAGCTTGGCAAAGCACAGGGACCGCGGTTCGATCCCCCAGCACCACATGCCAGCCAGCCCCGCCCCAGGTGGGCTGAGCTGGCCTCACCCACACACACCCACAATAAATAAATGTTAAAAAAAAAAGAAAGAAAGAAATAGAATGACAGGGCCAGGGAGAGAGCTCAGAGGTCTAAGCCTGGCAAGTGCAAGGACCTGGGTTTGATTGTGCTGGCCCAGCGCCAAGCTGGCCACCAAGACCAGGCATGGTGGTACACGCCTGTAATCCCAGCTCTGGGGATCTGCAGAGATCCTCCTGTCTCAACCTCCTGACTGCTGGGATTATATGAGTGTGTCACCATGCCCAGGTTCTGGAGCCACAGGGCACCCAAGGATCTGGGCCTAGATCTTAGGCATGCGGAGCTGGGGATCAAACTCAGGTTCTTTTGCTTGCCAGGTAGGTGCTTATGCCTCTGAGTTACCTCTCCAGCCCCATTTTCTATTATTCTTACACAGCTTAAGAGAGTTAAAGTACTCAATGCTCAAGAAACATTATTTTTAAAAACACAAGTTTTATCTGGGTGTCGTGGCACTCCTGTGATTCCAGCTCTTGGGAGACTCAGCAGGATTGCACCAAGTTTTAGGTCAGCCCGGGCTACATGCTGAGGTCAATGCCAGCCTGAATTACACAGCAAGACCCCGTCTCAACATAAAACATAATTTACAAATGCTGAAGTGTGAAGCTAACCTTAAGCTAATATCAGCATATTTTAAAATTACTTACCACAATCACTGATTTTGCTTGTTCACAATACTGAAAGTCTCCATACCGAACTGATCTACGCCCCTGTGAATAAAGATAACTAAAGTTACTTTGTAAAGACATCATGTTCAACATTATAAAGGCAAATAATTGCTTGAACATGCAACAATCTTAGTCAATTTTTAATATTTACAACATTCACCCTATTCATCAATGAAAAGTTTGTGGGGTTTTTTTGTTTGTTTTTTTTTTTTTTTTGTGGTACTGGGGATTGAACTCAGGACCATGCGCTTGCCAGGCAGGCACTTACTCTACTGAGCTATCTCCCCAGCCCCTAATCAATGAAAAGTAAATTAAAATTTTCCTTCAAAGTATCTTAGTTCTAAAGCTTTAGGTATATTTCTTCAAACTGAACAACAATTATCCTAGTAGGTTTCTATAATTTTCTTTGCACATGAGTAGTTTCTTTTTGCGGAACCAGGGATAGAACTCAGACCCTTGCGCTTGCCAGGGAAGCGCTTATTCTACTGAGCCATCTCCCCGGCCCCTGTATATGAGTATTTTCAATCACTCAGTAGATTGGGGATAGCTATTTTGTTTTTAAACTTTGTCAATAGCTTATAATTATACAAATACACAACTGGGCCAATATTCAAATGAAATTTTAAAGAAGTCTCCAGTAATAGCGAATATTTCAGAGCTTTCAATGATACAAACAGTCTACTGCAGCATGCATATAATATACCACTGGCCTAGACATATACACCTTTTAACTCAATTTTCTGGGGTAACTCATCTGTAATAAAAGCTTAATTTATTAATTATCATGATGAACTTACATCCCGATCTACTGTAGTTGCAAAACCAATGGCTTCCTTTTGTGTACAGTTCACAGCTTTCTGAAGAGTGTAAATGACTTGTTCATAGGTGTGAACCTCGTCATTAAACAACATGCAATAGTAAGTGTCGCTCTTCTCTCTGTGGAACCAAACATGATGTACTGGGTGATCCATTTGTGCATAATCTTGCTCCAGCTCACTTATTAAGAGAATTCTTTGCCTTACAGAAAGTGCTAAGGATTGGGCATACATAGGAGAAAAAGTAGAGTGGGTCTCCATGCTGTATGACACCACAATTAGAGTATGGTAGGGAAAACAGATATGAACAAAGGGCTTCAAATGCACTGGCTCTCATTAAAAGCAGCAGGATGCTAGAGCAGGGAATGCGAGGTCTGGAGTTTAGGTAAGAACTACTGGAGAAGTGATCTCACATTATTGGGTCTCAACTGCGCCACTCCCCAACCCCTGCAGGTGACCATCCCACAATGCTTGCAGGTGTTTCTGGCCATCGCCACTGGGCTGGGAATGACGCTCAATACCCTGCAATCCACCAGGCAGTTCCCAGGACAAATGATTCATCTGATCCCAAACATCAATGGTGCCAAAGCTGAGCAAGCCTGGGGTAAGAGAAGGTGAAAGCCAAAGTGCTAAGGAGGCCTGGGTGACACTGGGACTAGAGCACTAGGAAGGAGGGGGAGATGGGCATGAGGGCATTCTGGTCTGGAGAGAGGAGAAATCATGAAAATCTCACAAGATTTGAAACAGAAAATATGATCACATTTGCCTTAAAATTTCACTGTGGCCATAGTATGGGAATGAACTACATAGGGCAAGTGTCCATGGCCTCCAGGTATAGTAGGTATGGAGGTGAGTGGAAGCAGAACTTGAAGGAGGAAGCACCAGACCTGGGCACAAGGAAATCACGTTTCTGGGTACACTGAGGTAGGAACACCAGAAGTGAAGCAGTCAGATTTTCCTTTTGTGCTTTTTAAATATAGATGCCAGTTTTATTTAGATTAGTGAGGTCACAAACTGATGAAAGCCAGATACTATTCTATTCTCAAGGCTTTAAGCTCAGTTTTTTTGTTTTGTTTTATGAATTTAGTATAGGGTCTATAGAGTCTCACTAAGCAGCTTGGACTCATAGTGATCCTTCCTGTTTTTCAACCTCCCGAGAGCTGGGATTACAGGGCTGGGGAGATAGCTCAGTAGACTAAGCGCTTGCCTGGCAAGCACAGGGTCCTGAGTTCAATCCCTGGTACTGAAAAAAAAAACAAAAAACAAAAAACAAAGAGCTGGGATTACAGGTACACACCACCATACCCAGTCTCAATCGCCCCTCTTAGGGAGCCCAGGGGACAGGGCTGGCACAGCAGGCCAGGGACTGAACCTGGTCCCTGCATCTGCCTAAGCAGGCGCTTTAATCTACTGAGCTATTTGGCTGGCCCTAGTTTGCTTTTTAAGACAGGGTCTCACTATGCAGCTCATGCTGGCCTTGAACTTGAGGTGATCCTCCTGCCTCAGCCTCTGGGATTATAGGCTTGTGCTCTGGTAAAACTCAGAAACCTAACCTGAATTTAATGAAGGTGCAATTATGAAGTACTAATTAACCTACCTATCTATCTTCCTAAATTCCTTCTTTTCTTTTTCTTTTTTGGTACTAGGGATTGAACTCAAATGCTTGTACCACTGGGCTATATCCTCAGCCTAATACATTTTAACATTTCCAAAACAGCAGAGTATAGTAACCTTTCTAAACTTGTACTGAAAATCACTTCATCTACAATCTCAATTATTTGGAACACACTGATTAACCAAAAGAAACATTATCAATGTCCTTCAATTCTTCATTATAGCATGAGTTCAGCCTTAGCTGTGAACACAATGCCAACAAGTTTGCCTTTATTTTTTAATAAAAGAGAAAGCTGCTTAAGGCAAGCCCATTAACAAGGAAAAAGGTAAGCCTGAGCCACGGCAGAAGCCAGCTCTCTGATAACGAAGTCTGCAATCTCAATAAAAAGAACTAGCACATGTACAGTGAAAAAGCTGAAAGCATAGGACATTTTATAATTAGAATCAAAATGGTTAAAATTGAGTTTGAGTATTTA